TATATACATACATATACATATATACATATACATATAGATATAGATATAGATATAGATATAGATATAGATATAGACATAGATATAGATATAGATATAGATATAGATATAGATATAGATATAGATATATACATATGTATGTGTCTATATATGTATGTACATATATATATATATGTGTGTGTGCGCGTGTGTATGTGTATGTGTATATACATATATATATATATATATATATGTATATATATATATATACATATGTATAAATAGTAGGTAGATACTATGGACATACAGAATGTTACCAGGTTTTTTATCAACACGCCTCCTAAAACAACGATGCAACGGTCCTATCGAGCCGCAGTTCTTCACACGTCATCATCCGTGCTGCAGCATCGGACACTCTATAAGGTCCATGGTTTATGTAGGGTTTAGCGTCAAACCTGAGTGCTAAATCCCATTGCCAAGTCCCCTATAAACCCTATAAACCCTCATGCCATTGGTAAGTCGTCCCTTTACAAGCGCCCTGAACCCCCAAACTCCGCTCAGACCGCGCGTCTTGCCGCACCGGCCCATGAGACCACATATGTTGAGAGGTATAGGAAACCCTCGTAAGTACCGTAGGGATCGTTTTTTGCGACGGCTAACAGAAGCTCTTATGTGAGGATGATGCTTTATTCAAAACTACGTCCTAATGCGTCACCTCTCGGGCGGGGTGCCGTTGCGAGAAGAGCTTTCTTAAGCTGCACGTCCCCTCAGCTGCACGTATTCCGTAATCCCTCCCGACCTGAAACACAAGCTATACAGATGCCCTAAACCCTAAACCCTAAACCACATGCGGGTGAAAGGGGCTACTGCATTTAAAGCAACCCCACACCCTAAACCCTAAACCCTAAACCCTAAACCCTATCCAACCCTAAACCCCACACCATAAGCCCTAAACCCTATTAAACCCTAAACCCTAAACCCTAAACCCTGAACGCTAAACCCTATTCCTTGAGCTCCGAACAGGCAGCCAGCACTCAAAGTTCCAAGGTTCAGGATTTAGAGTTCAGGTTTAAGTTCAGGACTCAGGCTTCAGGGTTTAGGGTTTAGGGTTTAGGGTTTAGGGTTTAGGGGTTTAGGGGTTTAGGGTTTAGGGTTGAACCAAGGGCCACCGATCTGAGAATCTTATATACGATGTGCCCAAAGCTCTTGTCCCCAAACCATGTAGATAACCCCAGTCAACCACGACCAATGTTCAGAGCGTGCAGCAAGCCGAGGCGACATAATCAAAACTTCCACAAACAACAAGTAACAAACCGAAGACCAACAGCACTCTATATATATATACAAACAAATACACATACATATATACATACATATACGTAGATATACCTATGTATAATACATGTTGATATATATATATATATACACACATACATATAAATATGTATACATATGTGTGTGTGTAATACCGAGCATTAAGCTGGGTAGTACTAAGCTATATAACTTATAATCGTCATAGCTGGACCAGGTAGCCCAAGAGGTGGAGCGAGCCCGAGACGTGGAGCAAGCCCAAGAAGTGGCGCCAGCCCAAGAGGTGGAGCGAGCCCGAGAACCGGACGCCGCGGCTTCAGCAGCGTTTAGATTGTTTTTGTGTGCTGCTGAACTTTGCTTTTTGATTTATTGTTTGTGGTGTTGCTTTGTGATGTGTGTGTGTGCATGGTTTTGTTGCTTGTATTTTTTGTTCTGTCATTTGCGGTGTCTTTCTCATTTGTTGTTCATATTGTGTCCGTCCGTCCGTCTGTCTGTCTGGCGCGTTTGCTTGCCTGCTTGCTTATTTGCTTGCTTCGTTGCCTTTTTGGTGTGGGAGCTGGTGCTGGTGCTGCTTGGGAGTGAAGCTTAGTGGTGTGGCCGTTTTGCATTTCGGGTTCGGGTGTGGAGGTCCTTAGTTTTCATTATGATGCTAGCAATCTTTCGCCGCGCTGCTGCAGCGAACTGCACTCAGCAAGTAAACCACACCTGTTATCCCGTCGACCTCCTTGAAGAGAGTGGGTTGCCTTCCCCAACTGTGCTCGCAGGTCTTATTTGGAAGTTCTGAGCCCGAAAGGCACTCAGCCACAGAATCCTAAACCTATGCGAAGCCTTAAACTTTCAAGAAAGACCTGCGCAGTAAGTAGACTGCGAGTCGGATCACAAGTAGGATGACTCCAGATAGTGCACTGACAACTCTTCAGTTTATCTCACAGGGTATGTCCCTTGAGCCTCTAAGTGAAACTCAATGGCTCTTGCAAACTCCAAACCCGCAACACCCCTAAGCCCTATACGTCCCCATTGTATGTCCTTCTCTTGGCTTAGTTTTTGGCTTCCTATAAGGTGACACAAACTGACACAACAAGGCCCTACAAAGAATACTGTAGGTGGGATTCTAGTGTACTGGACCCCGAGACATGTCACGGTTCAGGAGTTCGGGTTTAGGGGTGAAAGCTGATTCAGAAACACTGGCCCTGGAACTCAAAATATTTGGTCTCAGATAAAGAGCCCTTATGAATAAATGCCCAGGGATTCTGAAATGATCAGGTATCTTCATTATCACTAGACCTTAATCCCAAAACCCTCAAACCTAATTAAACCCAAGACCCTGAACTCTAAACCCTAAACCCTTAACTCTCTAGCCCAAAACCAGGTCCCGAGCCCGACGGCGGAAGCCCGCGTGAGTCGGGAAGCCCGCGTTCTGCACGGAGCCCGCGGACGCAGCCTGGCGTAGGGCTTTTTGTTTTGTTTTTCGGGATTTAGGGTTTTTAGTATTTTTTCGGCATGTCGGGTTAGGGTGTATATACAGGGCTTTAGGGTTTTTTTCTGCATTTAGGGTTTTAGGCCTTTCGGGTTAGGGTGTATATACAGGGCTTTAGGGTTTTTTTCTGGATTTAGGGTTTTAGGATTTTTGGCTCGAGGCCGGAACTTGACCACTGCGTTTCTGCCTCGGACAGGTACGGCTCCCAGAGATCGCGGAGAACGTGCAACCACAACGATGACGATGACGACGACGACTACTGCATGCTCATCCAAGGGCGGAAGGGTTCAGCGCTTTGTTAGGCTAGCCTAACGCCTAAACTCCTAAACCAAAGATGCCGAAACCAAAAAAAACAAAACCAAAAACAACAAAAATATCAAAACCAATAATATTTTGGAAGTCTTGCCAAATCACTACTCCGCAACTTTTCTGAATATTGTTTTGTTTTGATGTTTTTTGTTTTTTTTTGGTTTTGTTTTTTGGTTTTTGTGGTATTGGTTTTTGTGAGTTTTGGTACTGTTTTATTTGGTTTTAGCAGTTCGGATTTCTTCGTCTTGTTTCTTGTACTTAGATTGCGTTCTCATGTGATTTCGACCATGATTGTCATGATTCGCTCGAACCATCCTAGTGTTGAAGCGCACCCCTTACGTCAATACCCACTCTTGAAAGCAATGTGGACTCGCCACATGGAGCACGCGACTAAGCTGCCTGATGAGGTGATTGCAGAAATCTGGAGCTTCTCACTTCGCATCTTGTCTTGTTGATAGGTCTTCTTCGTTCAAAGCGCTTTTCGTACGTCTAAAAGCCCTATTTTGCGTGCGAAGTTAACGATGACGCAAATCTTAGACCCGTGCCTGGCCCACCAACGCAGCACGAGATCTTCATTGGATAGTTGCCAGATGGCACTTGCTCGCATATGCTGATGTTTCCATACAACAGTCGTCTCATCGTCAAAGCCAGTTTGGATACGTAAATCTATCTTCTTTTGCACGGAGGTTCCCGCGCGGTGTGACTCGGTGAGATCATGTACAAGATCACTCGTACAGGGGAAGAACCACTCAGCGCAGCTGATTTGACTCTCCTGGGCTATTGAATATCAACGTGTTGTGGTGGAGCTGCTCAGTTAAACTGACATGCTCTACTTGGGACCATGCCGTTCATTCCTATGCCGTTGCAGGAAGATGAAAGATAGGTGGAGCTGCTCATTTAAACTGACATGTTCTATCTCAGACTACACCGTTGATACCTCTGCCGTTGCAAGAAGATAAAAGCCAATGCTTGCAAGTATGAAGTGGCAAGGTCAAGTTGTGAAGTGTCTGAACAACTGATGCACAACTTTTGAGATTCCTTCATAAACCATCACCGTAGGATTTTCTTAGAGCTGACAGGATCATATCATCGCTAGTACGCCTTCGCTCCTCGGGAATCATGTCGGGTTACGCCGCAGAGCACGACATCCAAGATGGAGGCCTCAACTTTGAGGAGGCATGTGCACATGTATCGGGTCAAAAACTCCAAGGTCCGGAAACCAAGCCCATCAAGTCGGATCGCGCTGTTGGTACTTTTCAAATATCTGACCTCCCCATCCGTCATGTGGAAGCCTCAGCAGCTAAGATCGAGCAGTTCGCAGACATTCTTATGGGATATCAGATCGACTTCACACCCGGTATGTTCGACCAGATCTACAAGTTATGCTATGAGGACGCTATGAGGACAAGTATGGACAGCTCCCCGAACCGTCTTCTCTTGCGAAAGCGCCGCCTGTGCCCTACACAATCCAGTTCGTAATTCTGCCAGCGTCTGTGCCACAGGATGCCGATCCAAACCGTTCCTACTATCACATCGTGAAGCACGTCTATCTGCATCGCAACAAGCTCTCATGCAAGGACTGTGTCGCCATGTGCAGGGGAACTCCTATGAGATTCGAGTGGGGAAACAGTGTGCGCCTTGGTCTTGGAGCCCTGAACTATATGATGGGCGGAATGGGCGGTCAACAACTACGCCATTGGATTATCAAGCCCAAGTATGAGAAAAAGTTGACAGAAAATCAACAACAACGACCTGCAGGTTATGAGTTCATCCGCAACTTCGGGCCCCGATGCAACAATCGGAATCAATTCGTGGAATGGACGGACGAGCAGATCCACACTCCAGGTGGTAAGTTGGAAAACTGGGCAGCATCCAAGGTGAAAGAAGCCCTGGCGAACTACATGAAAGGCAGACAGAATGCCAAGACCCTTGAGTTCTGGCCCTTAACGCTCAAAACGTTCATCCCGTGGATTCTGAACCGTGTGCTCACCCCGATGTTGCCAACCATGCGGCAGCATGCGATTATGTGGATTGGTAGAACAAGAACTGGGAAATCTCTTGGTTCAACTCCATTCTATTCATGCAATCCAAGTACGAAATCAATGAAGCGGATCGGTCCGATCTCGTCCCTTCGCTTGTGACCGCGAAGCATCTCGATTTTTTCAAAGCGGAACCGCTCACAAGGTTCAAACCAGGGGTTTTTGATGACGGAATGCTGCAGCGCATGGATTCTTCATTCCTGAAGGCCTTCCTTAACCCGTCTGCTTCTCGTCTGATGTTTATAAGTTTGATGTTTTTCAAGTGTTTTTAAACTATTCAGTATCATACTTGTGCACATTATATACATTTGTTTATGTTGAGGTGGTACAACTTCTCAGGAGGAAGACGCGACAGTATGGGCCCCGTATTCCTCTGCTCAATTTGATCTAGGGGCCGGACGCCACGCGTGCAACAACCCGTACGGCAAAGACAACGACAAGAAACTCTACAACACCATGAACGCCACCAAGGTCTGGCATGCTGGTCACGACGAGTTTATGAAAATGATCAAACCTTCTTTTCCTGCGGTCGATGAGGACGAGGACATGGATGCCATTCTTGCTAGGACTCATCTCATCGTCATCACAAACTCGGGTGTTTACCATCGTCTTGCCAGCACGTCCAAGGACCCTGTCAACTTCATGCCTTGGGATCCGAATGAGCCGAAGGACCTCGTGAGTGCCTCCCAGCACCACATCTTCAAGGAATACAAGATGAACCCGCACATTCACAAGTACCCGCCGTCATACTACGAGGATCTCGCGTGGTCACAAGAGTTTTTGCGACGTCTCCTTCATGGCGAACGTGTGCCCGAAACTATCACAGTAGTGCAGCGCGAGGATACCTTTAGCGAATCATCTGCGCCGCAAGACCTTAAAGCTTTGCTTTTCTTGTTACATGGTTTCATATGAAGAAACCGCAAGCTATATGCATTTAACCAAATATGCTCGCGAAATACAGGTCGTCGTTGGCTCGCCGTCCAGAACTTCTGTCTCAGCCCGTGCTGCGCGCCAAGGTCAAGCAAGAAAAGTGGACCAAACATTCCGGAAATTGAAAAGCGCGTCCTCGACTGTCATCGACATCTCTTCCCCGTCTCCCAGGAAGACGTCTACGGCATCCGCTCTTTCATCCGAGATGTTGCCTTCGCCAAAGCGTGCCAAAGTTAAAGTTCCAATGAATCCAGATTTTCCCGGATTGGCCCCCTCAGATGCAGATGACGACGACCATGTCATTCCGCAAGTTGGTCATGTACCCGATGAACTCGAAGACCAACTAGAGCAGCTCATGGAGGAAGCCGACGGTGATGACAAGATGGACATTGCCGACTGAGAATCATGAGTGCTATAGATTTAGCATCCTGCGTAGCACAGTCTCTGACTTTGGTTTTGTTCTTATTCGTATCAGTATGACATGAGTAGGTATAGTGCTGTGGTTTAGCTTTGTAGGGTAGATACTTTCTATATAGAGTTTTGGTGCCATGATGCTCGCCACATCTGTATCTCGCTCGTTCACCGCGCGCAAAACAGGAGAAACACACACACACACAAGCTCGCTGCTGTATGCTTTTGCTGGTAGACATACTCACGCTCTCGACGATTCGTACGCTTTTGCTTGTTAGCTTGTTTTCCGGTTCGAAGAAAACGTAGCTGCTAACTGCCATGGCGACTTACCAAGACTGGATAGCATTTCGTGAGGCCGTACTTTCTGCCAATCTCATGAACCGCACCGAGTTCTTCGCAGTCGTTCGTCACACTCAAGTTCGCGATGTTGAAGGCCTACCAGACACAGCGGCTACTCGTGCTCTGTTGGCATGCCAGGCTCTGCGGCTAGTGCTTCCACAACGCGTTTGCGGTCAGTGCGATACCCCCCACAAGCTCTACTTCAAGTCGGGTAGATATAAATGGACAGGTCCCCGCTATGAAAGTACAGGTTGCCACATGTGTCTCGGACAAAAGTATTCGGCTACCTCCATTGGCGTTCTCTCCCAAGTACAGCAGCACATGTGGATGAGCAAGCTTGACTGCTTCGCAATGTGGATCTTCGAGTATTCTCGCCAACAACTTCTTCGAGAATTACATCCAACTGCCCATGACAGAGTCGATTCTTGGACTAGATCTTTTCAACAGACCCTGAGTGGCTGGTATCAAGTACAAATTCAATCCGGCTTTGAGTGTGCCATCTTCAAGAAAATGGTGACAGGCAAACCCAACCCCACGCGGAGACCGGCTTGCACAACAAATAAACCTTCATCGTCGGCGTCTACATTGAAGCGGCCATCTTCCCCATCAATCCGAAAGAAGCCTTAGGTGTTAACAAGCTACACCTGGAAAGTTCTGGCAGTTCTCGCATCTTCATCGCAGATGGGACTCACGTGAACAAGAGGAAACCAAACGTGTTGACTCAAGACGGCCGTCCACAGCGAGACCAGGTATGGCTTTGGGGTGCTGTCCTACAAGGTCACTTGAAGACCCACTTCATCTTCCGTGTCCTGAAGCATCATGAAGAAGTCTTCGATGGCAAACCTCGCGGCCACAAGGACATGCTGCATAATATAAATCTCTTGGGTCTTCGTAAAGGAGACATTTTCGTAAGTGACAAGTGGCGTGCCACTTTGCCTGCTGTCAAAGCATTTCGCAACAACCACGGTCTCACTGAGAGCCAGCTGCGTCATGAAATTGTTAATCATTCCGCTGGTGAAATCGTGAATAGCAACGGCTTGAGTGCAAGTGGTCGGTGATAAAGAGATGGATCAGACACAAAATGTCTGGCATTCTCCCGGCGCACTCAGACCGTACGAAATGGTCATTGCTGATTGACGAGTTCCAAGCAAGGTCGCAGCAAGGTCAACGTTGAAAGCACTGGCATCTCATTCGTTCGACAAAGGCAGTATGCATGTCGTTCGCTTTCATGATGTCGTCAACTTTTCCAGGTTGCCGATGCTTCACACTCGCTTTTCGGATCCTGCAGCTCATCGCTTCAGTAAAACAGAAACATCATTGTTTTGCATGCACGTCTCGCAGGTAGATTGTGTTCCACCGCATACAAACACTTTACCGCTATTCGTTCTGCTATGCTCAAGAGACATGTGCTAGCACGGACGACATGGCACCATGTGCCTGAAGCCGAAATGCAGCGGTCACCTTCAGGCTTTGAACCGATTTTTTCGGCATTTCGGGTTAGGGTGTATATACGGAGCTTGAGGGTTTTTTTTCGGGATTTCGGGTCAGGGTTTAGGGTGTAGGGCTTTAGGGTTTTCTTTCGGGATTTCGGGTCAGGGTTTAGGGTGTAGGGCTTTAGGGTTTTTTCGCGATTTCGGGTTTAGGGTTGTAGGGTTTAGGGTTTCTGTGATTTTTTCGGGATTTAGGGTTTAGAGTTCCAGGGTTTAGAGCTTTAGGGTTTTATAGATTTCGGGATTTAGGGTTTAGTTTTTTAGGGTTTAGGGTTCCTTGCAAGGGATTAGGGTTTTTAGGGTTTAGGGTTTTAGGGTTTTGGGCTTTAGGGTTCCTTGTAAGGGTTTACACGGCTTTAGGGCTTTGGGGTTTCGCGTTAAGGTTTAGAAGCCTTATATGGGTTACTTTACAAGGGTTCCTTAGGGGTTCTATGACGGATCTAGAAGGAATGTATCTTCGGAGACTTGGGTTGAGAGATGCTGATAGGGTGCAGGGGTTCAGGCTCTATAGGGTTTAGGGTTAGGGTTTAGGGTTTAGGGAAGTACCGATCCTGGGGTTTACGGTTTTCGGATTCCGGATGCCTTTGGGTTTTAGGGTCTTGAATTCCGGTAAAGTCTACTCCACAGGTGACCATGAATCTACGAAAAGGGCAACTATAAGGTTTGCATGCGAGGGCTCATGGCATCACCTGGAGCAGTTAGAACGATTTAAAAAGGTACCCCTAAACCCTAAACCCTAAAGTCCCTCAACAAGTGAGGAGATAGGTTGTTGCCTGTTTGCTCTTCCAGCTCTCTTGCTTGCCAGTACAGTCACAGTTGTAGTCGGGTTTAGGGTTTATGAGTTTTGGCAGTTTTGCCGATAGTACCAACATGGAACAGCAATGAATGATAATGTCAATTATGTTGAATGAATGGTAATGTCAATTATGTTGATCAAGAGCATGGTTACGGTTTTGCACACAGACCCTGCGCCCTCAACCCAGATCAGTTTGGCAGGTATTTTCTGCCTTTCATGACTATTGTTGCTATTGCTGTTGGCAGTCTTACTTGGGGGTTCATGGGTAGTTATAAATGGGGTTATAAGTAAGGTAACTATAGTTATAACCCATATTATAGGGGACTCACAACCCGCTTATAACTACCCATGAACTTCCAAGTATATAATGTTTTTCTACCCAAACCCTGAAGCCTATCTTGACACACTCACTGTGGACCACGATCCTGGTTTCTTGTGGGAAACAGAACAGCAAAGTAAAAGGAGGTTGCAGCAACATAGAAGCCCAAAGAAATACACAAATGATGACTTAGGGTTTTTTGTTATGAGTATTCCACAAGGTAACCCCCGAAGCCATATTCTAAACCCTACACTGCGGGGAGTAAACCCCTCAACCCCCTAAGCCGTACACCCTAAATGGAGAGTAGCGAGGAGTTGGGGCTCCGAGCCTTACTCGGGTTTAAAGTGGCGGAGTTTATGAGTTTCAGGCACGTGGACACTTGTGGGTTTAGCGTTTACAGTGCAGGACTTGGTTTGGTGTAGGGTCTGGGGTTTGAGGTTTACACTGCCCTATTCTCCAAACCCAGAAGCGTTTGCACAGCAAGTCTCCTTGACCATATGATGCCTATTAGAAGTCGCGCACATGGGTGCTACTTGGTATCATCCCAAGCCTAAGTACGCAATTCATGAGCACTTGGAACCCTGAAAGCTCTTCAACAACAAAAAAAACGTAGCAGGACCCTCTTGTAGAACCTACTAGTTACCGTAAAAATCCTGTACCCTAACCCCTGAACCGTAAATCCTGAAGCCGCGGCTCTGAAGCCTAAACCCTAAACTTTATCTAGTATCTCTTACAACTGGCAACCTATACCCTACGTACAGAAAACACCCTAAACCTAAACCCTAAACCGTCTAAAGTAACATTCAAAGTGAATCAGGAGGGTCCATATACACTACCACTATGGAATTGTAGGTGCCAAACCACCATCCCTATTATGGTTTTGGGGACCTAATTCCATAATAGTGGTGTATCTGAACCTTCTTGGGAATAGGAAGCTTTTTTTGAACTTTACAGTCACTTTATAGCTTTAGCACTTTTAGGATTAACCTTTTTGATACTAGGGGTACTAAAAGTTATAATTTTAGCAAGATAATAAAGAGCAACCCAGGAAGATTCAAAGCTTCAGACCTAATTCCATAATAGTAGACCCTAAACCCTAAACCCTAAACCCTAAACCGGGAATAGGAAGATTCAAAGCTTCAGAAGCTCAGGCAGAGCCCTCAGTCTGCCCGGGGAGCTGCGAGCGCCAGCGACTCCGCTCACCTTGCGGTTTAGGGTTTTTAGGGTTTAGGGTTTAGGGTTTAGGGCGTTGTAGGATTTGCTGCAGTTTCTGCCGGGTTTATCGTTCAGGTTCAGAAAAGTCTTGCAACATGGGGTTGAGGGATGTTTGGGGCTCACCTTGCAGTTAGCGGTTTGTAGGATTCTCAGCAGTCAAGAGTACTGTGTGGAGTTCCGTGGGGTTTCCCGGGTTGCAGACGGTCGTAGGGTTTAAGGTCTGGGGGTTAAGGGTTTAGGTTTCAGGAATCCCTAAACCCGAACCCCTAAACCCTAATTCGGGAGAAAGGGGGCTAGTGCACTTTAAAAAAACACAAATTCCTATCTTATGGCCTTTGAGTGCAGGGGTGTCTGGCTCAGGGCGCGCTGTGTTGGATTTGAGGGCTGGTTCAAGTTAGCCGTCCAAGGCAGGGGCTGTGTCAGCATCATATATATATATATATATATATATACATGTTTATTTTGTCATATCCATATGTTCGTCATCTATCTACTTATATATATATACACACACGTATATATATATATATATGCATACGAAAATGTACTTATGCATGCATGCATGTAAGGCAAGGATGTATGGACGTATGCACGGATGTATGTATGTGTTATGTATTTAGGATGGCTGGCTGGCTGGCTGGCTGGCTGAATGGGCGGGCGGGCGTTTATGTGCATGTATGCACGTCTGTAAGTATATACAGATAGAGACTGAGTATTTTGGTGTCCTCGATGTTATGCGACTTTCATGTTGGAGTCGCGCGTTCTGTAGTTCCGAACACAACATGGGTTAGGATTTGGAATGTAGTGGGCGTAGACGGTAGGATGCAGAC